GAAAAGAAAGTGTAGGAATCGACTGAAACGAAGGACTCCAAGAAGACAGCCAGTTATTAACCAGAAGAAGGAAGATTATCGAAGGATCTGGATAACTAGGGATACTGTTCGACGACAACTCAGGAAATATTCAAAAAAAGCAGCTGCTTATAGACCAAAAGAAGGGAAAAGGTACCCAAAGGATTTGGATAAGTAGATTCTGTAAAAGAACAAATTCCCAGTATTTAACTGATCTATTATTTAAAAAGAAAGCCATAAGCTTGCCCTGGTAAAGAAACCAGCGACCAAAGTTTTATTTGTTTCTTTTTTCAGAGCAGCCGTTTGTTTAGGTATCGAAGGAGCGTCAAGTAAGGAAAACTAGGAAAATCAATCAAAATCAACATGAGTCTACTATTCAGTACATCAGATATGGAAGAATTATTTGCTCCGCAAACCGATTATAGGAAACACCCTTTTGCGCCAACTTCAAATTTAAACTGGAATACAAAAACTAAAATGTCATCATCAACACTATCACCACCTTGGATGAAGAACAAGAAGGCGGGAAATCTGCCTATATTCAGAACTGGAATCAACAAGGCCCTAGATATGGACGACCCAATTTATCAACAACCCAAACAACAGGAACCAATTTATCAACAACCAACTACCCCAAACAATACAGTCTTAATTGAGCAACCTGGACTTTTCTACGATGGACACCGCTTTATGCAGTTTTTGAGGCAATATGAGATGAAGGCAGATTCACTTAACGCATCCAAATACGATCGAGCCCTACAGATTGGACGGTTTGTGCGAACTGAAGAACTGAAGTGCCAAATTGAGGCCATGGACGGATACGAGGAATGCGACTGGGATATTCTACGGGCCTCAATGATTGAATTATGGGGTGACAAGTATGAACTTCTGTATACAACAACTGATCTAGTCAACCTTTCTGAAGAATTTTCTAGAGATAACAAAACAGTCAGCTACCAAGCATTCCAGACTTACCTTCAAAAATTTTCCAAAATACTTGATTTCCTCCTCATCCAGAAACAATTGAGAAGTAGACAGGATGCCTTAGTTATTTTCATCAGTGCCTTTCCTCAAGAACTCCAGAGAAATATCAAGCGGAATTTAAATCAAAATGGTCAACTTCCACAAGCACCCGATGGATCCAGGTTACCCCCTCTTTGGGAACACCTTACGGAGGCGGCTGGGGTGGAGATCAAATTGAAAGAATTAGCCAAGGAACTTGAGGCACTCAAACAACAACTTCAAGAGTCACAATCACCTGTCATATGCAACACTCCACATCCTTTGTCCCAATTGGAGCCAGCAACAGAATATACGGAACTAGCGACAGAACATACGGAACTAGCGACGGAACATACAGAACTAGCGACAGATTATACAGAACTAGCAATCGATCATACAGAGCCAGCGACAGAATATACGGAACCAGCGACGGATTATACAGAACTAGTGAAGGATCATACGGAGCCAGCTACGGATTATACGGAACTAGCAAAGGAATATGCGGAGTCAGCGACGGATTATACAAAACTAGCGAAGGATTATATGGAGCCAGAAACAAATTATACGGAACCCACCATTGCTGATACAGAAAAGTTAATTGATGTTACCATACCCGTGGCCTCATTGAACATGACAGAACCAGTCATAACTACCAAACTGCTGGATCTGGAAGAATGGAAAGTGGCATCAATAAACGTAATGGATACACCAATGGATCTTGCACATACAGTAATCAAAATCCCTGATATAATTCTAGATGAACCTGATAAGGAGAACCATGTGGATCAGGAAGAAAGCTTGGATCAATCGACTCAACCAGAAACTTTGGATCAGTTGCCATCATTCAAAAACAATCCGGTGAAGATTCAAAATTTACTACTTGCGGAAAACTCCAAGGAAGACCACAAATTTCCTGCAATCCCCGGCAAATTTTGGATGCTTAATATCAACAAATATTTGGAAATCAAGATCTTCAACAAGCAACTATTTAGGCCTCTTTCGGACATATTTGGACTTTGGCGGATCAATAACCACTCGTCTCAACACCTGGAAATTGAGAATACCCAAATTGAAGAGCCAAAAGACAAGATTATTAGTGTTCATTCCCCATTGGCTCTTGAAAATCTTGAAACAACAGACTTGCCTATTTCCAGCCAACCATTGACACCATCAATTTCAACCGCATCAATTCCTGAAAAAGTCTTTTCAATTCCAACACCGCCAGATCCACCAGATATCATGACAACATCAATTAGTCCAAAGAATGAAGCAAACCGGGAAACTCAACAATTACCAAAGGAATTATTTCTTCTATTTTATTTACTTCAGAAGATCCTTTCTCAGTTACCCCTATCAATTCCGCCAGACCCTCTTCAAAAATCTTATGGAAACATCAAACCCCCAAGATTACTGGTTGGAGTTGGTTAAAAAGATTAAACAAAAATCATTTTCAATATTTTTCTGTCAAATTCAAGAAGAATATATCAGCCTTCAAGAATACAACATCAGAATATTTCTTTAAGTTGGGGGAGGAACCCACACTCTTTTATCAGTCACTCTTTCAACCTTCCCCCTTCCTTCATTCACAGAACCTTATACTTCCCTATTTAAAAATTTTTTACACCTTAAAAACCTCATAAAAAATTAAGCCTCCTCCTGGGCATGAGACTAAACTGTTCACACTACAAAAATCACATTACAAATTCTTAGCTTAATTTTTCAAAATCAGTCAG